TTCAGCATATAAATGTTAATAAATATTGAGGGAGGTCAAGATCTTCAACAGGTATTAAGAAATTCATTTGGTGTTCATTGATCACTCTTCAGAAACGGTTCCAAAGCTTTCGGAATACAATGAAAATAATTTTCTTCGTGACTATTCATTCGATATTAAATATCATCACCTCAAAATATATCGACATCAGAACACGTTTGCGGTTGATTTATCGATTTATCACTTCGTGTCGTTACATTTTGAAACTAATTTTCAGTTTCGAGAGCAGTTCAATATCTCAACGTGCGATCCCTCAATGTGTACAGGGTGTCTCAAAATCTGCGGTTCCTAAGCTTTCGGAATATAATGCAAATAATTTTCTTCGTGACTATTCATTCCATATTAAATATTATTACCTCAAAATATATCGACATCATAACACGTTTGCGGTTGATTTATCAATTTATCACTTCGTGTCATTACATTTGGAAAGTGAGTTTCAGTTTGGAGAAATAATAACCCACACATGTTGGAAATTTCGCCATAGTGTGGTGAAAATCGTAATTGAAAATTCTACAAAATATAAGCGCATATATACAGAGTGAATCAATATTTGAAATACGTCGTTTGAAACCCCTCATACCCCTCTCTCTCTCGAAATTTTACAGAAATAATGCTGAGTCGTATTGGGTGGTTAACGTTCGAATATGGAGAAAGTGAAGTATTCGACAGTTTTGCGTGCGACCGTTTTGCGTGCGTTTTCGACCGTTTTTCGTGCGTTTTCGACCGTTTTTCGTGCGTTTTCGACCGTTTTCCTTGCGTTATCGACCGTTTTACGTGCCCTTTATTCGTCGTTATTATCGTTTTTTTTTGTATTTCAATATGACAGTCATTTATCACTTAACGCGTTTTCGCTATCCAAGTAAGCATCATCAGGAGATGACTAAAGTCCATGCTTTGTCGTATGAAGGTTCGTTTTGCGAATTCTCAGACTCCTGAAAGGAAACCTTGTGGAACACTCAGCCTAACTTCTGTTACAGAGTGGTGTCGGTCAGCCAATCAGAATGGAGGAATCAAATATCGGTCGATTGATTGTGTTAGATGAAATTGAACTGGAGAATGTGGATCGCATCATAATAATAATAGTGATGAAACATTAAAACTTTGAAAGTGACGTAGTCAGCGTGGGAGGTGGTGGCATGGTAGAAAATGTGTGATGATTCGTGGAAATAAATGAGTTATTAGAAAAAAAAATGGAGCAACTGTCAGAAGGGCACTAAGTTGTATATTCGCTAATAATAATCGAATCATCACATACAGCACGACAAATGAAAGGATAAGAAATGCAGAATTGATCGACAAGAGAATAGAAAGATGGCGCAACATGTCAGAAAGGCACTAAGTCACAATTTAGTTCATGATAGTTGGATCGTCCGATTTCGATGATTTCGACATCAATGGATGATAATTAATCATTTTTCGAAGCCAAAAGGGCCTTATAACCTATTTTCATTATAATAGCCGCAACAGACCAATGTGGGTACTCATTTGAAATGATCTCATTTGTAGATTATGTAAAGTATAATATACAGCGTCTAATGTGGAATTGCATAGGAAGAATTGCACATTCAAAGAAAACCATTGTCGTTTGATTCAAACGACAAAAAAATGAAAAAATCATCGTATACTAAAACATATGGTATTTTTGGATTCCTTGGGGTGAGAAGGTTTCAAATCCGTCAAAAACAGGTCACTTCAGGTTTTGACTTCCGGTCGTCTGATTCCGATGATTTTGACATCAATGGATTCGTCAAAAAACATAAATAATCATTTTACGAAGTCAAAAGAACCTCATAATCTATTTTGTAGACTATAAAAAATATAATATCGAGCGCCAAATGTAAAAGAGCATAGGAAGAATTGCAAAGAAAATCATTGAAAAAACTTCGGATCGTCACGTGCAGCATGTCAAATGAAAGAAGAAGAATTGCATAATTCATCGACAAAGAAAAAACAAATATGGTGCAACATCTCAGAAGGGCACAAAACCTCATCTTCGTTAATAATAATTGAATCTCAACGTGCAGCTTATTGAATGAAAGGAAAACGAATGCAGAATTCATCGACAGAGAAAAAACAAATATGGCGCGACATGTCAGATGGGCACTAAGCCACATCTTCATTAATAATTGTCGAATCGTCACGTACCTCACGTTAAATGAAAGGAGAAGAAATGCAAAATTCATTCTCAGAGAAAAAACAAAGATGGCGCAGTATGTCAGGACACTTAGCCATATTTTCGTTAATGATAGTTGGATCTCAACGTGCACCACATCAAAATAAAGGAAAACGAATGCAGAATTCATCGACAGAAAAAAAAGCTTTTTTCTGGTTTCCCCTCTTAAGACAACATTTTCTTCTGGTTCTTTCTGTCTTGCCCTTACTGATTCTGGTACCGCCACCAGAATCAGTTCAGATGGTGTATTTGATGCCCCAGAAGTTGTATTGTTCATTATTTCTCTGCATATTTTTGCTATTTCTGGAATCAATTGTTGAATTAGGTTTTTGACGATATTATCTGAGGTGTGCTCGTGGCTTGGGCATAGGATATCTGCCGGTTTTGTGGTGAAAACATAGCTCTATATTTCCAATTGGTTTCTGGGAATGGTATATTTCTGTCACTTTCAGTTTTTGAATTGCCGCTTCCTCTTTGTAGACGGGTCAGTTTTTTTATCTGGCAGAGTGTGAGCCTTGACAGCGAACACACGACATTGGTTCCATACATGATCCGTCGTGTTTGCCACAAATACGTGCTTCTTTCTTGGTGCATCTCGATGAGGTATGCCCGAACTTCTAGCACCTGAAACACCTGAGGGGAGGTGGTATATATGTCCTTACAGGTAGTGAATAAAATCAAGCTCTTACTTTTTCTGGTAATGTTACTCTGTTAAAGGTCACTATACAGTACTCAGACTACTAATATTTTCAAGTATTTCTGTTACAGAACAATTCAATAAGTCGCGGCATCTAATAACTCCTTTCGAAGAATTCAGAGTTGAATGTGATGATACTGCTACGTCAAATTCGTTGAAATTTATCAACTCTATTAGTTCCTTTGCTCATTCTACATCAGCTTTTCAATAGTTAGCTGTATCAAAAGTCCTTCTCGTACTTTCCTCACTAATTCACATGTTTGGCGATGAATCCACTTTTACAGCAAATGATGTATTATAACAAAAATCAATATAAAGAAATCACGTTTGGGGAAGTTTATTGAAAAATAATAGATTAATATGGCTGTTTTCTCCGAGAAAATTTGACTCGTAATGTCAACATGAACTTTTTGAAAAATGAATTGGCAAATGGAAATTGAATTTAATATGATAGTCATCATGCGCATTCCACCAGTAGCGTTTCTCATTGCCGGAATAAGAGATTTGGTGGTAGCTGGTTAGGACATTTTTCCGATCTAAAATGGCCTCCACGCTCTCCAGTCTTAACGCCATGTAGTATATTTTGATCTTTCATTAGTATTGAAGAGATTGACGCATTCATAATATAATATAATACATCTGCAAGGGCGTTGCAGAAATATTCTGTTTTGGATGGATGAGCGAACAGTGAGCTGCATTGAATATGGAAATACTGAAACAATTCGATGATTTTTTTCAAAAACATTCAGTTATCTAGGTTGTGCGACTGTTTTGGTACATTTAATCAGTTAAAATCTCTGCTATTCAATTCATCTCCTTGATAATTAAAAACAGTATTGCATAATTGATGTATATGCACTTGTTAAAACATATTTGCGCAATATTTTGAATGCTGTTAAATATCATTACAACAAAGATGAATTTGATAGTTACCTGGCTAACTCCATAATACGTTACTGTATAATAGTATGGGGTGGTACCTTCAAGACATCGCTAATTAACTTGAAAGTGATTCAAAATCCATTAATAAGAATGATGAAAAAAGATCGGAGGTATTGTACCCAGTCGTTGTATGATGAAACTGGGACAGATAGATCTTTCTCTCTCTCTTTCTCGTCTTCTATCTTCTTTTTACTATCTCTTCCTTTCTATACTCTCTTCACTATGTTTGGTTATACAGGAAAAGATGTACTATTTAGTTTGCTGGCTACAATACAAGCTTGCTTAGGTAGCCGTAACTTTCTTTAAATTGTATAATCTCTACATTTCATGTATCTTTATTCATTGATTTTATTTTATTTTTTTATTCTTTTGCCATAGACGACTATGTATTTGATCTTATTACTAAATTTATCTAAAAAAATACTCGCTTCAATTCGAGAAAAAGTGTGCCAAAGTGATTTGATTGTGGCTGTCTTGGAAATGTAATGATTTAGAATACCGAGAACATATCACCTTACATTAAAAAAAACAGTAAAAAATTATTTTCTATTCTGAACAGCTTTTCTGGAAAACATGTCATTTTTAAAATCTGGGTATTTCATTGTTGAACGAATTTAATATTTTTTGATCGGCCCTGTTCACTATTTGACTTGAAACTATTCTAAGTGCCTCTAATAAGAATTCCAAACATGCACAAACATTCAGTGGTTTTCAGATTTCAATTGTGCAATTAATTGAAGAAAATTGCATTTATTGCAAACTGTATGGTTGGTGAAATGCAGTCGAGAAGAATATTGCAGTTCTGGTGTCTAGGAGAAATGTTTTGTTGGAGATTATTGATTTTGTTATGGTATATATCATATTCATAGTATATTTATTCTCATTTATTTTTCAATGTTCTGAAAAACGGATATTCGAACCTACTTCAGCAAATAATTGCATCTTCGGATTCAATTGAAATCTGTAACCCTATTTGCCCAATCAACATCGGAGTTCAGGAAAATAACCACGAAAAGCTATACTGTAATCTTGGGTAATAGACATGTGATATTTATTCACTTTTCTTGCATTTTGTCTAGAGGAAAAGTATTGAATACATTTGTGTTATAATAATTTGATATAAAGACGACTTCAATTTTTTTATAGGTAGGCAACTATTCTTATGAATGTTTTCATGCTAATCAAGAGATCAACATAAGGATAATCAACAGTGGATGGTTGCACAAAGGTGCTATTGTTTGTCCGCCCTGTAAAGAAATATGTGCTGTAAGTATTTTTTATCTGAACAGAGAAGAGTAGAAAGTTATGATTTGTTTGTTGCTAAAACTATCGCGAATATTAAAAACAAAGAAGTTGATTCGCATGAGCTAAATTTCAAACTTATTAGACTGTGTTGTCCACATATATTTGAAAATATTACCCACATCATTGATACTTGTATTCTTGAAAGCATTTTACCATCGTTATGGGGTACGTCGATCATAAAAATACTACCCAAAAAGTTGAATCCTCTGCAATATAAAGATCTTTGTGGAATGAACATCCTACCAACAATATCCAAAATAGTGAAATACTAATAATAGGTATACTACTCATTTCCTTGAATTTCAGTAGTATTTGATACACTAAATCAATTGTTATAATTGCTCATTTTTAACTATTTAGGTCCCTCACCTGATACTGTGAATTACCTGACGGATCGATCGCAAAGTGTTGAAATTGATGAAAAGTATCTTTTTTAATAATTTTTGGAATCTGGAGTTCCTCGAAAATCAATGTTTGGACCACTGTTGTTTGCGATATATACCTTTAATTTCATTACAAGTATTCAATAATGTAACATTCACTATTATGCAAATGATTACTCAGATTCATTTCTCTTTTTCCCCTTCAGAAACTGATACCGTTTGTAGTATGATAATACGAACACTAAATATATTAATCAAGAATACCACAGATCACTGCTTGACTATAAATTCCTCTGAATGAAAAGATATCCTTTTTTGGACAAAAAAATGAACGCCGAAATGTCCTCAGCATTTTGTATATAGTAGTTAGTGATGAAACGATAGACATTGTTGAGAAGTCAAAGTTTCAGGTATATTGTTGAATTTCAATATGACATTCGAGAGACATGACAATAAGTTGTTAAAAATAGCTCAATCCTCCATATGTGTAATAAATGGAATACGGCATTTTCTCTCGCCAAAGCTCAAAGCTATATTTTGTGATAAGTCAGTGTTGTCGAATTTTAATTATGTAGACGCTGTTTATGGAACTAATACAACAAATCAATTCAAACAAAAAATTTGAAATGTTCAAAATTCATGTTTACGTCTTATATATGGAATAAAAAGAAGCGAAAGGACTTCTCATCAATTGTAAGTTAGTTGGCTGAACATGTGCAGGACCATGCTGAAATTATTTGAGTAGATATAAATATTATAAATACACAGAAACATGTTTAAAAAAAACTATCGTCAGTATGGTGCAGACAAGTGCAAGGATGGGCACTGATGATGGGAAAAATCAAAATCATCCAAATTTTGGTAATTGACTAAATAAATGAATTCCTTCGATGAGCTTTCATGCAGGAGTCAGTTGTTTTGCTACAAAGTCAGGAACGGACTACCCCCGATGGTCCACACCCCAAAACTTTGAAATGACAGATATTTTTCAATATTTTTCAACAAA